AAATTTTTTTTTTTTTTTTTTTTTTTAGGATACATTTGAATTAAGATTACATTTATTAAGATTAAGCTTTATGCATATCATTATTTGAGTTTGGGCAAAGTGAAATGAAGTTGCCAAAAATGGTAGCATCGTCTTTTAGTTAATTAAACCAGATTAGTTAAACAGATAACATTGATAATAGAAACAAATATGATTTTCATCTTTAAGACAAGACACCACAGGTGAATACATCTGTGCTGGATATATAGGTCCGGGTCGCTATATGTAATAATGATTGGTGAAACATCCATGCATTTAAGGGTTAAATGAGCAGTGTTATGTTCGGAGAAAGAAAACACTGCATTCCAGCATAAGAACCTTATCCCATCTGTGAAACATGGTGGTGGTAGTATCATGGTTTGGGCCTGTTTTGCTGCATCTGGTCCAGGACGGCTTGCCATCATTGATGGAACAATGAATTCTCAATTATACCAGCAAATTCTGAAGGAAAATGTCAGGACATCTGTCCGAGAACTGAATCTCAAGAGAAAGTGGGTTATGCAGCAAGACAATGACCCCAAGCACACAAGTCGTTCTACCAAAAAATGGTTAAAGAAGAACAAAGTTAATGTTTTGGAATGACTGAGTCAAATTCTGGACCTTAATCCAATTGAAATGTTGTGGAAGGACCTGAAGCAAGCAGTTCATAGGAGGAAACCCGTCAACATCGCAGAGTTGAAGTGGTTCTATACTGAGGAATGGGCTAAAATTACTACAGGCCGTTGTGCAGGACTGATCAGCAGTTGCAAGAAACGTTACTTGCAGTATAGACATTTCTAAAGGGTTCAACTTTCAAGCAGCATATACTATACCTATATCTCTTTTTATCACTCCATAAATCTGAAAATACTGTCAACAGCCAGAAATGTGTGTGTGTGTGTTTTCACCATTTGTGAATAAAATGTTGTATAAAATCAACCAAATGATATATGAACAAACCCCTCTATATGAAGTGTTGTGAAGTGAAGTGACGGGTAACCCATACTCGGAATTAGTGCTCTGCATTTAACCCATCCTAAGTGCACACACACAGCAGTGAACACACACACACCGTGAACACACACCCGGAGCAGTGGGCAGCCATTTATGCTGCAGCGCCCGGGGAGCAGTTGGGGGTTCGGTGCCTTGCTCAAGGGCACCTCAGTCGTGGTATTGAAGGTGGGAGAGAGCGCTCCCCCACATACATTCACTCCCCCCACCTACAATCCCTGCCGGTACGAGACTTGAACCCGCAACCTTTTGGGTTACGAGTCCGACTCTCTAACCATTAGGCCACGACTTCCCCCACATATTTATATACACTTCAGTATATAATGTTTGGTCTATGTAAGTGCTGAACTAGAGATTTATGGCTCAATGCAGGAGAAAAATCTAATTTTGAGAAAATGGCTTTTAAATATATGTAATGTAGCTAAAATCTACATTACATATATCTATATACATCTACATAGAAATCTACATATACAAATAGATAAAGTGCAATAAAAGAAACACTTATAAATGTATTTTGGATGTTTTCTTTCCGAAAGAGAAAGAAAGAAAGCATATTAAGACATTTATGATGGGGGCATAACAAAAACAACACAAAAGCCATTTGTAAAGTATGTTCTTTAAATTTTGTTAAATATGTGATTGTCATCATTACCTTCTTTGTCACAGAAAATCCAGACAATAAGCGCAGTGGATGCAGATGACCCAGTCGGTGGACATCGCTTTTTGTTCTCCTTAGCACCAGAGAGCTCAGTGCGAGCAAACTTCTCAGTCCGAGATAATGGAGGTGGGTGCGCTTTCACATTGTCTGGCCTTCTAACTAGCTCACTGTCTCTCTTCATGACAACACAGACCAATCAAACAGGAGAAATCTTTAGGACACATGGCCTCTCCACGTCTAGCTGTTTAAATTGAGGCAGCTCTTTCTGCAGTAGCCATAACATTAGGTCAGTCTGGGCCTGCTGTGGTCTGCAGAGTGGGCAGATCCTTCGTTTCTTAATGAACTAAGCACTCAACTCTCCACAGATAACACAGCTGGGATCTTCACACGACGCACCGGATTTGGCCGAATGCACAAGAGCACCCATCTAGTGTCTGTGGTGATATCAGATGGACACTATCCCATGCAGACCAGCACGGGCACGCTCACAATTCGGGTGTGCACGTGCGACCGAAACGGCAACATGGAGATGTGCAACGCCGAGGCTCTGACCAGCTCCGCGGGGCTCAGCACAGGGGCGCTGGTGGCCATCCTGCTCTGCATCCTCATCCTGCTCTGTAAGTAGCCTTCGCTGCTCTTTTGACTTTAACAATCATATCAATTCTGCGTCCATCTGTCTGATGGCCACTTCCTCCATCTGTCTGTCTGCTGTGAATCCGACTGTTCATCTTTCAAGCCCTTTGTTAGTGAGACTTTTCAGTTCATTTCCCCACCTGTCTTCTTGTCAGTTAGCGCTTTTGTCTGCGCTGCCATTTGATTAATTACAATTCCAGTGGTCTGTAGTGTGTACGCCTGATCTGCATGTGAAATAATTTGCAATTATGTGGGAAAAAAAGAAAACAAAGAAAAACTATTTCTGTCATGCTCAGATGGCTGAACTGATAAAACTCACTTGTTGGTTATTTAATCAGGAAACTGGGTAACAAGGGCTAGATTTCAATTAAACTCACATTAATCCAGTCTTGATTTAATTCAACAAAACAGGAATATCACATTTGAGTTTAAGATTTAACTTTAATTGAAACACTTGTGTCTTCATATAACTAACGTGCTTGAGTAATTGAACGATTTACACTGGGATTTTTTATTTATTTATTTAATTATTAAATTTTTTTTTTTTGAGGATGTATTTTAATTGCTATGGAAATGCTTGCTTATCTGAGTTCTGCTAACTGTTAACATCAGCTAGATCTCACCTGTGAGATATCTTAAAGGGGTCATATGATGCTTTTTTAAAGATCATTATTTTGTGTATTTGGTGTAACAGAATATGTTGACATGCTTTAATGTTCAAAAAACAGATTCTTTATCAAATACTGTACATTATTGTAGGTCCTCTATGCCCCGCCTCTCTCAAACGCTTCGTTTTCTACAAAGCCCCCTCCTT